GGTAATTTATAATCAGTCACAAGAACGTCGAATCTGAATCACTTGAAAAAAACACGGGGGTGCTTAACTTTTTTCCAGGTGTATATTAATTGTTTCTTGTGAAAAACTATCTAAATGTAAACTTGGAGTGCTTGTATCAGGAAGCATCAGAAGCAAAATGATGCAGTCATAGATGGATAAAATCATAGTAACAGATTTCAAGATGTGGTATGGTACATTTCTAATGGTACTGACAGAAAATAAGCTGATTTTCTGTAAACTTGCTTGACATTATGCTTGTATAGCCTTTGGTGTGGCTAGGAATGTGTAGGGTGTACTGAATAGTGAATTATTAATGCATTAGATGTTTGAATAAATAACAGAAACTAGAGAAGTTGAAAGATATTTCTATGTGTAGTGTAGGAATAACCTTGGATGAAATTTGGGATGAAATTGATAGACTTGGAGAGGATGGAACTGGTAAGTTGTCATGTAATTATTTTTTTGGTTATTTTATAAAATATAATATTATTATTAGAGTATATTTAATGTTTTGAAAGTTTTATCTGAGGGTAAGTACAACTCTTTATGGATAGTGTGTTTGAAATCACATCTTTGAGTCATTTAACTAATGTTATGTTTATTTATCAAAAGTGTTAGTAGTTGCACAGAAATAGAAGTGATTGGTCAGTAAGCTTTTTAGAAAGTCCATAATACAAAATATTCAGTGCAAAATTAATTATGCGATTGTAACACTGAATTTGATTCATGATCATTTTAAGTGTTTATATAACATTGAAAGTTGTGCTTAATAAAGTTTGTATTTTAAAATTATTAATTGAGTGGGATTCAGAAACTCAACTTAAAGTAGTTTAAAACCTAAAACTATACAAAGCATAAAAGTAACCTATGAAATATAAAATAAAACCTTAATTATATCTTATTTATAATAATTTTAAACAGGATAATTCAGTAAAGCAAACTGAATTTACATATATCTGCTAAGTAAGCCTCTGAGCACTAAAATGGCTTCTTTTTGAGTCGTGTTTCAAGCACATAGTGGAACATAGTATAAAGAGTAAAAATCGCAGTTAGGAGCAAGAAAGTTTAAAATTGATCTAAACAACCACAGATGAGAAGATTGTGCTGACTCTAGCCACCATATGCTAAAAAAAGAAGTAGTTGTATTTAAAGCCCTTTTATGGCCTTAGAAAAACATTAGATGCTGATTTTTTTCTAAACAAAGTTCCTATATTAAACTTAAAAAGTTAGGCTTAACTCTGTGAAAGAACAGAAAGTATAGGAAAACTGTTGTCTGTAGGCATACAAACATAAGATGTGGATTTTCAAATTTCCTTTTTCTGTAGGTTACAAACAAATGACAGCTTGTCTGGATTCACAGTTTCTTTATCTGTAGCATACAAACAAACATTAAGCATGAGATGTGGATTGTTTCAATTAAGAATTTGTTTTTCTATAGCCATATAAACATGATACATGTTTTGCCTGTATTCAGAATTCATTTATCTTTATATCGATAAATAAGAAGTGTAAATTCAAATTCAGTGATGAGGAAGCCACTTTGGGACTAATAATGGCTGGAGACGGCTTGAATGGGTAATGAAGAAAAACTTTAATATAAGTTTAACATAACAGCAAATGTACAACGTTTCGACAAAGTTTTGTCATCATCAGGTACCTGATTATGACAAAATGTATCCATTTTGATGATTAATAGTGTTTACTACTGGATCGGAATATCAGATAAACAACAAGAAGGGGTCTGGGTCTTCGAGGACGGAATGCTGGCCATGTACGAGTTCATTAATTTATAAACCTCTAAGTATCAGATATGGATTATCTGACTCTGAATTGCTTTATCTACAAGCATTTCAACATGATGCATTTATTACCTGCATTTAGAGTTACTTCATTCATATAGGCCTTCAAATATAAGACATGTTTTCAAGATTTGGTAGTCCTTTGTTTGAAGTCCTATAAATGTGATTCATGGAGTATCTGCTGTAATAATTCGTTATATATAGACCTACAAATATGAGACATGTGACAAATGGTTTCATTATTCAGACAACTTTGTTTCATAGAATTACGATGCCAGGCTCTCAGCTTTCTAAGAGTGCCAAAACTCCTTTCAGCTTCAGCAGAGGAGGCAGGGACAATTAACAATAACTTTACAAGGACTTCAACCTGATCAAAAAGACCACAGACCTCAAGCAGCATTTCCCTCAAAATTTTTGCAGCTTCAATGCTGGAAATGTAAGTGTATTTGGAGAAGTACGTGGCTAATTGCACATGTAATGACTCCCTGATAAACTTTGGATATTGGTCAGTCTCTCCAATGAGAACTTTCTCCAATTTTTCAAAAATCTGCAGGCCTCACTAGTTGAAAAGCTCTCTAAAATGCACAGCTACAGTGTCTAGCAGCTTGCAGTACTCAGCTCTGTAATACTCCAAAGGAGATGTTAGTGCATGTGCAACAGCCATACTAGTAAAGGACTTAGGTGATTTTCTCATGTGTGACATTTGAATTAGCTGGATATTCAAGGACTTGATTAATTCTGTTACTTTATCGTATTCTTGAAAGGGGGTTTTTTGTCACACTTCATTGCAGCAAGCAATTCAGCAATGGTTTGTGTTCTCTTTTGCAAAGACATGTTCAGGCATTCCAATTCTTCTTTCTCTTCAATGGCTAGGATTAGTCCCAGGATCACTTTCCCCTTCTGAAATCTTTCCAGAAGTCTGTTTGCTTTTGTTGCTGAATCTGATGCACTAGATGAAGCCATCTCTTTCAAACTAAGCAACACTGGCTCATACTGGATGAGCACTGACCAAATAACTAGGGTATGAATAGTCCACCTTGTGGACACAGCAGCTTCAGAGTAGTGTAGGATCTACTCTGAAGTTTGTTATTGCACTGAACATTAACTTGAATTTCCCCAATTGATTGTCAAAACAAGCATCCCAACTTGTGAACCCACTGCAAAGAATCCTGAATCACAGGAGAAGCTGTATAAGCTGTCTGAGTAATGAGATTTACACAAGAAGTATCACAATGGACATAAAAAATTATAGTCACTCTTCTAAGAAAAGCCTATGCAGCAGTGTATTAGCCCAACATACTTGCAGCATCATTGTATGTTTGCCCACGAAGACCAGAAAGGATAGATTGAGGTGCAGTAAGACATCAGTGGCAATCTTGGATATTCTTTCTCCTGTTGTTAAAGACATTTCATAGAGACCTATAAATTATTCATGTGGCATCAGATCCTGCTCCATGTAGTGAAAGCAGATTGCTTTGTTCACTGCCATGTATATCTTGTGTTCCATCAATCATTACTAATATTGCAGAGAGCTAATTCGCTTTGCAATATCTTTCACAATGGAGTTGCCCATTAAACTCATAATCTCATTTTGAATTTTAGAGCAGGTATGATCCTGATTATTTATCAACCACATAAAGAGTTTGGGATCATCTTCTGATCTCAACTATAGCAGCTGGCTTATATTCTCTTCCTTTTCTTCATGACTGCTAAAAGCCAATCCTTGCCATGCCAAAAACTGCACTGTGCTTACAATCTTCAATAGGCAAGATTTTTCCTTCTGTTGCTGTGATGCCAAAGCACTAGAGAGCTGGATGTCTACTGGTCTTTCCTCCTGAACATGAGTTATCACTGTTGCCTTATGCGATTGACAATCAGCATGTTTTGCAAATCTCTCTATAGTTTTTTTTTAATTTCTAAATCCCGAGGATACAAACACGGGATCTGCATTTTTTGGCAAGTGGTGATTTTTTGCTTCTGAAAACTTTTCTGTATTATATACATAACACCCCTTTAAAACAAGAACTTTAGTGGAACTAGAAAAATCTTTGAAACATTTCTCCTGAAAAAGGGAGAGTCTTCTTTGTCAACTTTTGGTCTGTAATGAACCTTGGTTTTGGCTGATGTGGGGTATTTCCAAGGTCATCTCTTTCCGACCCTCCTAATTCTGTGACTTCTACCTCAAATGCCTCTGTGCTGGGCAGATGTTGATGTTCAGCTGATAATTTTCTCTTTTTCTGTGGCACTACTGCTCACACCTGTCTGCTATTGCATCTCCTCCTACAATAAACATGACAGCAAAAATACCAAACTCAGGTACCACAGTAAACTCCTTAACATCTCTTTCAAATTACCTCTGAAATAAGGATTCTTACTTTATATAGGCATGTAAAACTGAATGAAATTATAATAGCAAAAATAATAATAAGAAGAAGAAAAAGAAAAAAATTCTAGTGAGACACTTCTTTAGAATAGTTTTACAAACCCTGTTTGAAATTAAGATATTGCTATGTGAGTTAAATAATGTTTTAACATGAAAGATGTGAACACACTATAAAATAAGAACTGGTATAGAAAGAAAGTTTTATTATGCCCTAACCACAATTATCTAGTATGTTTAATACTTTTAAATGGATAGTAATGGTCTGATATTTATGGCTGTGATTACAAGTTTATCTTATGAAAAACAATTCAATCACTGCACTGCTTGGAAAAAAGTCTTATGTCCATTTATTTTACATTACTGGTAACTTCTGTTAACCAAAAATACACACATTTAATTTCTAACATAGCTAACTCTTGGTTCACTTAACAATATTTTGGTGGCCCAGTAAAAATGCTTTTATATAGATATATAATGAAACCATTTATTTATACATTTCTGTAACTTATAAATATTAACCACAATTTCCATGTTGAATCTCCTTAAGATGTAATAAAGGAAAAATAAAGTTATTTAATTATTTCGAGTAAATTTATTATACAAGAATAATTGTACATGTAGCTCAAAAAAATTCAAAGAACACATTGCCACATAAACTTCCACTTTTTATAAATACACAAAAAAAGTCAATTAAATAAACAGTCCTATTGGGAGATATCAGGGATGTTAATGTACTACCTGTTCTTTCACAAAACAGCTAGCTAAATTAGTTCTTAACTCACCAAAATCAAAAACAAACATCTGCTGTTACTTAACAAACTAAAACATTAGCATCATGTAGATTTACACATGTGAGTGGAAGAGCTTGTTAACTGTTTAGTCTCAGTACTAAACAATTTCACTAATTCCTTAAGTTTTTAACTTATCTTAGTTCCTAGTTGTATATACATTTTGACTCATCCTGTTATTGTGTTTCACATATTTGTTCCACTTTGTGGAAATTATGCATAAATAATTCCAGGCATAAGACTTTCCAAAGCTGAAGAAAGAATAGTAATTTTATTTACATTTATCCACAGTAGTCATATGCATGGAAGTCTTTCCTTTGTAGTTTGTACACCAAAACAAAAACTAAGGCTAGATGGCACTGTTGTCTAAAACAAAAATAAGAATATAAACATTTCATTTCAATAATAATATAATTTGACTTCTACATTGAGTTTTCTAATCAGTTTTAAAAAATGTTCTTAATTCATTGTTTTAGACTAAAGTACAGACAACCACTTTTTACAATTAGATCCTCTTGTCCACACAAAAATTATTTAAGATTTACAGCAGTGAAATCATGGACATAATTTATCTAACTGGTAGTTCAAAACTATATATTTAGCTTACTAGTTGGAAGATTTTTGCTTCTCCTTCCTTAGCTGCCAGTGACCAACTGCCTGACTATGTTTCAAACACTCCATGCAAGCTGTGCCAAGACTGAGTCAGCTGCAATGTTATGTGAGTTTCCACATTGACCTAGTGCAGGCTTCATTTGTCATGACAACTGGTTTTATGTAAAAATAATTGAGAGAGAAACAGCTAAGCTAAAAAATAATATATCTCCATCTTTCAAAAAGTGGGTGGGACACGTTCACCTTGTAAATTACACTTATGGACCACACCATATAAGAAATCCTCCTATGTCAAACTTTGATTCACCACTTATAAAGAAAATTATCAATCACACCACATAAGAAATCCTCTTATATCAAAATTTGATTCACCAGCTGTTAAGAAAACTATAAATGGCACCATATAAGAATCACACCACATAAGAAATCCTCTTATATCAAAATTTGATTCACCGGCTGTTAAGAAAACTATAAATGGCACCATATAAGAATCACACCACATAAGAAATCCTCTTATATCAAAATTTGATTCACTGGCTGTTAAGAAAACTATAAATGGCACCATATAAGAATCACACCACATAAGAAATCCTCTTATATCAAAATTTGATTCACCGGCTGTTAAGAAAACTATAAATGGCACCATATAAGAAATTTTATATAAATATTTGATTCACTATTTCTGTCAAAAACTTGTTATTTACATCATATCAAAACATTCACACATGTTGTCATATAATAATTGATACCAGCTTAAAAAATTATTACTAATGCATGCTGTTAGAATGTTATCATCCACACCATGTCCAAATATCTCTACACTTGCTATCAAAAATCATTCACACTGTGTTGTTAGAAAAATTATTATCTGTACATATTCTTAGGAAATTAACATCTGTATCCAGTTAAAAACTCCATCACACAAACTGTAAAACGTTTATTTGTACCATATTGTTATAAATGCTGTTGGAAAATTACTATTTATACCATTTAAAAAAATCATTCGGACTGTGTTATCACTTGCCAAAATTTTTGAAGTTTTGACCACATTTTCCATATTTCTTTGTCTGTCACTCAAAATAAAATCATAGAATATCATAATGATGGAAATATCACTTTACAGAATTCAAATTTTTTCAAGTATTGGCCAAGATTTCTCACATTCCCCAACTTTTGTTCTCCGTTCTAATTGGTCAGCTGATTGTTGTTATGGGTAATCCTTCAACAGAAACCTTGGTACGAGCAACAGTGATGTCGCTAGGGCTTTTCTCCCCTCAAGGAATAGGGTAAAGTCTTTTTTTCTTTCAGTTTCACCTAAATTGTTAGTAGATTTAACATTATTGAGATGAGTTATATGATTTTATGCCTACTTTAATGCTTTCTGTACATGAAAATAAGTTTTAAACAATTATAATGTAGACAATAATCATTAAGTAGAATGAATGAAATAACTTAAATAATTATGTTTTCTACAATTTGTGTGTAATAAAGTAAAATAGCAATTTCTATTAAGTAGTTAGTTAAATTACAGGATTTTTTTGTTGGGTGGAAGGAGATAAATGGCACTATTTTAACAGTTTTATTGAATATTTTAACAGTTTTATTGAAGTGGTTAAGTAACATAGCTTAAACAATAGTAATTTCTGTTGTGTAGAGGTTAAGGAAAAGATAAAGACAATAACAGTTTCTGTTTTGTATGAGTTAACTTTTTGTTGAGTAGAAAGAGTTAAATTACATCATTTAGATAATAACTGTAGCCATTGAGAAGAATGACTGAAATTATATTTATTTATACAAAATATCTGTTGAATAGAAAGTTAACTTTTTTTCATTTTGACAATAACTATTGCCATTGAGTAAAATTATTTAAATGTTATTACTTACACAACTATTTTTGTTGAATAGAAAGAGTTAATTTTTTCATTTTGACAATAACTATTGCCATTGAGTAAAATTATTTAAATGTTATTACTTACACAACTATTTTTGTTGACTAGAAAGAGTTCATTTACATAATTTAGACAATAATTTCTGCCGTTTAAATGGCATGATTTATGCAATAACAAATTTGTTGAGTAAAATGAGTTGTAATGTTTTATAAGAGTTGTTTTTTTATGAAGGATGAGTTCTAAATCAATCAAATAAGCATAGTTTCTGTGAAGAAAAATGATAGTTTCTTTTTAGTGTACCAAATTCAGTTTCAAAATTTTTATTGTTTCAGTAAAAAATCTTATGTAGAACCATGGCGGACTACTCCCCTTTCTTTAGATGATGTCTTTGGTATGGCAGTTATTGGCCTTTGCATTTCAGATGATTGTGTGGACATTTTTGTTCCTGCTCAAGTTGAGGTATGTTTGTTAAATATAAAATAAATTATGATAGGTGTAGTAAGGACTCAAAATGCATTTAAAAATAAGAAAATCCAAACAACTTCAGCACAGCTTGTTATTTAATTTGAATATTACAGTTATTGACACTTAAAAATTAATTTAAGACAAATCCCTTTTTTTACTACTCAGCGTCATTAGATATACTCTGCAATTATTTCCAAAACTATCTGTATTTAGTATTCTTGAGTAAGTGTTGTTCCACAAGACATGAGAAGAAAAACTTGGATAAATGATAATAAAGAATAAATTGACATGTCTAAATGAAAACTTTTTCAAGCTTATTTTCTGTGATGTTTTGAGCAGATACCCTTTTTCAGGCAGTTAAGTCTGTGTTACAATGGAATTTACTGCCTGGTGAAGGGTATCTGCTCTAAACATCACAGAAAATAAACGAGAAAAAGTGTTCATTTAGACATGTCAATTTATTTTTTATTATTATTTATCCAAGTTCATCTGTATTTAGTAGCAAACTTTAATAGGTTCACGGGATCACTCTGTCCTTTATTTTATGTGACTAGCAAAGTTGGACCTGATTGTAGAGTCCATGGTAGGATTGGTTGTAGACTCTTGTAGAAACTTTTGTATTACTTTATCTTGAACCAGCTTTGAAAAAATTCAAAAACACTGTGTTAAATATTATAGAAATATTGTTAATACCAGTACATACATTACTTTTCTGCATGTGTGTGCACACACAAAATTAAAAAATAAGCCAGCTTGATATTTCTAACTGAAGCTTTAAAAAATTTCTATTGTTTGAAAAGTTTTGTTTACAGATAATCAACAGATATAACTTGCATATAATGGGAAACTGCTTACTTGGTTTGGATAAATGATTTGAATAAATTTATTAACTCTAGATTTAATACTGCACATTTAGGACTTGCTATCTCAGTGAATAGTTTGGAGAAACTAAGGGTTTAGCTGAAATAGAGATATCTACTTCCTTGGATGAACAAAACAGCTTACTTCTATCTCCATGTTGTTTGGAGAGACGTGGGTCTGTACTATGCAAATTTTGTGGCTTTAACCCATTCATAACTTAAGATATCTCTTCAAATATCTTCATATAATTTTTTAAAAATTTCAATTTAAGTTGTCTGTGCTAACTGTCTGAGAAACAAGCCATGGATCTCTGTATTTACTGATCAACAAGCATCAGTGTAAAGCTGGCTGATTTTTTGGGTACTGTGAAGGATAACTTGGACTGTTTTTTACAGTGTTTCAAGTGAGTAATTGTCTGGAATGGCTGAATGTAGGGATAGATGTTGCATTGATATTGAGCTTGAATAGTCTAGGATGTGATACATTTGGCCAAGGTGCAGCTTAGTGCTGAGACACAGTCATGGCTAATTTACTTTGAAGGTTTGTTAACAGGGCTACTTACAGCTGAGCTCAAAGCGTAAATGCAAGAACATAGTATGGATTTGGCCATTTAGATAGATGATTTGTAGTGACAGAAAGCTTTGTAAGATTGTCAGGAAATCCTCACTGACAAGGATGTGGAGGGTCTTTCAAAAGTTTTAGTATGTACAACTGATAAAAACTTGTGTGAAACATGAATTTTTTTGCATGGAAGCAACAATAATCTATAATGATAAAAGGGTGTGTCTGTGTGTATGTGACCACCATACTAAATGGACCCTTAAGATTTGCACCTGGGTATTACTTATCTTATCCACATGCATGCATGCACATCTTTTTAATGAGGCAAGCTATAAAAAACCACATAGACAAGAAGTGGTTCCTTATATTACAAATATCAATCACAGACATGCACATCTTTTTAATGAGGCAGGCTAGCAAAAAAAAAAAAACACATAGAAAAGAAGTGGTTCCTTATATAACAACATCTAATATATATATATATAGAAAAGCCAGTGCTTTTTGGCAAAAATGCATTCCAAAAATGGCTTTTCTGTCATGTTGCTTAGCAACAAAAGTATAACCTAATAATG